AATTTTATTAGTGTATCCTTCTGGAAATAAATTAATGATACAAAATCAATGAAAAGAATCACATTTGAGCCTGAAAACTGCATTCAGAAATTTCCTTTTTAAATTAACATTCAAAGTCAGTTCTCAAAAACACTATTCACATGTGAGCTTTTTTTTTTTACACTGTCTGAAATGTGTTCATATCACCAGAAATCAAAAATGTACTTGTACTGACTGCACTTAAGTTTTATATTAAATGAATTTTACACTAGTTTTTGAAAACCTGAAAGCTATAAAATGTTAAGTGCTTGTTTCAGTTGGGTTTAAGTGAATGAGAAGTGAGAATGGTGCTATGAAACTTTCACCCTGAAGACACCAAATCCTTTTGCCTTCCATTTAATCTTCCCCTGCACAATCAGAGCACCTCTGTCTCTCCTTTCCTTCTTCCTCTGTGCCATCTAAGGTCAGATCTATAGCACTTGTAGATTAATTACCGCACAGAAGAGATGGCTGAAAGCACGACTACAAAGACGGACGGATGGATAAACAAAGGCAACTGTCAAAGGAACAGTGCAAGAGGCTATATTTATGGTGGGGCAGCGTGTTCATCGTATGCTCATTGAACCAAATGCACTAGGTGACAGTGCAGACTGCCACACAGGTGGCACTGAGCTGTGTGTTGTGTATTTGTATGTGTGTCCACCTGGTTTCTACCTGCCAACCAAGTTTGATGACTGGATAATTAACGAGTGACTGGACTACAGCTGGCCCAGCAATTCATGACCACATCTGTGAGCAATTTGTGTGTGTGCTTGTCGTGCACGAATGCCTCATGTGCATGTGTGTATTGACATGTCATCAAGAATTTTAGGCAAGGCAGCAAGGTGTTTGCCTTCTTGACTTTTGAATTACTATCAGGAAAAAAAAAAGATTAAGATACAGTTTAAAACAGCTTCACTGCTTTTTCGGGTGGCACGGCACAAGAAATCAGTGAAAATTATACAGTAGCTTCCTAACTTTAATGTTTGGCTCCCAGTTATGACTGCCAAAGCATGAATCAGCAGAGAAGGAAGGTGTAAAAACTCATCACAGAACATAACCTCTTACAGTATTAGTCACTTTTTCAAAACTGTTACCAGTAACTAGGATTGACTATTCTGACCCAACTCTGGATTAAAGGTCATAAAGATAGACAATGTGCTCAAAACCACGAGTAAAATGCTGCTCTATTATAATCCTGTGCAAGAGTTCAACAATAAATCTCATCTTTTTGAGGCTTGTTTAGCTTTTTGAACAGTATTAGATACTGTAGATGTTCATTCAGGTCACAAACTTGCTCAGAGCACGTGAGGCAATAACTCTTCTGTGGATTGACGTTTTTTGACAGACATGTTCAATCTTTCATTTACTTGTAGCTGCACTGGATGGCAGCCACCAGTTTTAATGTAGTAGATACAACATTTCCCAGACTGTGACAGAATAGAACATTACAAGCTAGGTTAGATACAGTGCTGGCTTTGAGTGACAGAAGAATCAATTACTCCTCGGGACATGCCTAACCAATCTTCTTTTAATCTACATTGGGAGTGAACACAACAAACACTATAAAGTATAGACCACAGGAAGAAACCCAAACAGCAGCTGAGTTGTTTTAGTTTTGTCATAAAGTACTGAGTCGTTCTGCTTGGACCAAATCTTTAATTCACCTCCTATTTGCTTAAGAAGCACTTTCTTGTGTGTCTTTTTTGTAATCAATAATATTTTTCAGTTAAGAACCAATTTTGGTCATTAAATCTGATGCTGTTTTTACCGATAAGTTAAAAAAATTTTGATATTAGGAGCATTCTGTGATTAATCAGTGAAGAAATCCAGGCCTACTGCACACGCCTGTGTGTGTTTCAACATACATGCTGGAAGCAGCTGCGGACACTGGGCTCGATGTTGGAGCCGCCGAAGGCAGCCACCTCCCCCAGCTGCCTCGGGATCTGGATGGCTTCATGAAGCAGCAGACCGAGCTGCCTCGGGTCACATGTGTCGCCTGCCGATGCTACCTGGCTGAAGAGGTCTGGAGGGCAGGACGGGGTGGAGATGGGTGAAGGAGAGA